AGACCCCCACAGCGTTCCCACCCCAGACTGCCCCGCTGGCTCCTGCAGGCTTTGAACCCCTGAGCCCTGTCTGAGAGCTCAGCAGAGCCGTTCTGCATAGAGCTACTCACAGAACCCCCCTGCTCCATCACATCTCTCCCTGCCCAGACTGACCTCGGGCTGCCCTCGTAGCCCCACCAGGCCTGGCTCCTGGTCACCTGCTTCCCTCACCTGAACCTCCCAGTCCAGGGGCACCTAGTCACAGGTGAAACTGAACCCAGGACTCCCTTAAAGGGCCAGCTCACCCTATGCCACCAAGGACTGGTGCTGGCATTACCACACCTGCATAGAGAGAGCCACATTTCCCAGCACCTGCACTGGGACTCTGCCCACCCAGGAGCAAGAGTGAATTAGCTCAGGGGCTGATGGGTTCTCCAGGTGACATTATGGGCAGAGCCACCAAAGCCAAGAGCACGTATTAAACAGGAGCACTAAGGGAGTTCTAGCCTGTTACGGCACATTCACCCCACCCCCTCTGCTTTCCCCCTCACAGGATTCCATACAGGATGTTGTACAAGGTGCAAATAATGTCTGGACTGGACTGAAAGTGATGCACCCAGAGGGGAAATGGACCTGGCTGGACGGTTCCCGCTTAGATCAAACACTGTGAGTGTTGCCTGGCGTTTGCTGTACGCTTGGGAAAGTTCCCCTTGTAGAACCTGCTCATTTTAAATGTACAACGTCTGTCTGTGTAAGGTACTTACCTGCCTCCGGCACTGCAGTCCCTGAGCGCCTCAATCATCAGTGAATTTATCCTCACAACACCCCTGTGAGGCAGGCCAGGGCTGTTACCCCCATTGGACAGATGGGGAAACAGAGGCCCGGGGAGACTAAGTGACTTGCCCCACATCACACAGGGGGTCTGTGGCAGAGCAGGAATTGAACCCAGGTCTCACAGGCTAGTGCCCAAACCCCTGGAGCCTGCTTCCTCTGAGAGCCTGGGGAGCTGAAGGACATGATATGTAAGAATGCTGCTGCTGCTCCTACTGCTGCTAGGCTACAAGGTGCGGGGCAGCAGCACCGTGTTTGCTGGTGCCGTGGTCATGGGGGATCCCTACGGCCCAGCATTGCTTTGATCCAGCCCCTATGGGCTGAGCTGGGGTCCTGGGTTTAACACAGGGTGACCATATGTCCCGGTTTGGCTGGACCAGTCCCTTTTTTAGGCCCTGTCCCAGCCGTCCGGACCTTTTTGGCAAAACTGGGCTTTGGTCCAGTTGCTCTTGGCAGCTGCTAATCACTTGGCAAGAGCAAACGGGACCAATGCACAGTCCTGCCCCCAAAGTGGGGTGAGACCCCCAGCAGGGCACGGAGGAATGGGTGTGGGGGGAGAGGGGGGGTGAGGGGCAACACCAGCCCCATGCTGGAAGGAGGGCTATGGAGAGGGGCTGGGACTGGCTGGCCTGCCCTGTCTGCAGGGGGAAGAGTAGGACCTTGGGCAGCCCCACACATGGGCAGGGGAGGAGGGGACTTGGAGAACCAGCCCTGTGCCTTGGTGTCCACTTCTAGTTTTCCCCAGGGGTGCTCCAAGGCTGCTCCACTCCAAGGCCCTGCCCCCGCCCTGCCCGAGGCCCCGCCCTCACCCCACATCTTCCACAGGGGGTGCTCAGCCCCCACCAGCCACCTGCCAATCAGCTGGTCAGCAGTGGGTGGGAGGAGCAGGGGGGCGGTCGGAGCAGGGGCAGGAAGAGGCAGAGGAAGAGCTAGGCCTTAGGGGAAGGGGCCATGGGACAAATCAAACTTCTCCAGAGCCTGTCTGTGCCCAATATAGTTTTAAGGGGCTCCTACCGCCCCTCTCCTGCCATGGCTCTTAAAACCAACTGAGTAACTGAACCTTCTGCTGCACAGTGGTGAGCGGTGCTAATGCCAACTGTGGTATGGCCTGATACGGCCTCTGCACTCTATTTGTGAGACTTCCCCCGGAGTGGGCTCAAGACACTGCTGGGTTGCAGGCCCCGTACAGCCAACCAGAAATCCCCCTATTATCACTGGGGTTGGGTCCAGGCGAGCAAGGAAAATAGAGACGTCTTGTGCACCCCCATCCTTGCAGCACAGGCTGACACACGTGGGGGAACGTGAGGCGGTGCAGGGTGGTAATTCACATTTTATTTGCTACGGCTTTCCTGCGACTGTGGAGGTTGATGCTTCCCTAAGCCCTCTGGATACAACTTTCTGACTCCCTTTTTCCCTCCCCCCATCCACTCACACACCAAACCCACTTACAAAGTAGCAAACACTGAAAACCCATTGCAGGAGCCTAGCTCCGTGCAAGCAGCAGGAATGGAACGGAAGGGCAGTGACGCGCTTGTTCTCCTTGCCCTGGTAAAGTGTCTGGTGCGGGTTGTACCTGGTGGCACAGGAGTGAAATGAGCAGGGTATGGGTGCCCATTTGAGCGATTCACAGCAGGCATATGAGGCACCTTTGGGGGAGCCTTGTCCATGCCTGCCATGGGTCAGCTCGCTGACACCACCTACCCCTGGCAGCGCAAGCCCGACCTTCTGTCCCCCTGCAGGCCTCGCTCGCTCTGTACAGGTTAGCGATAGGCACCCACCAACCCCCCAAGGCCTGAGCGTCCCCTTGGAGTGCTCAGCCCCTGTTCCACTGAGCACGTGCAGAACTGTGACTCCCTATTCCCACCGGCACAGCCAACAGCAGCGCGTAAGAGCCAATTCAGGCAACCACTCTATTTAAAGCAAAGCGCTCAGATATAAATGTACTGTGACAGGTTCAGTCACAGTCACAGTCCCGCTTGGCACTGTCACCTGATCTGCTGAGACGAGCCCTGAGCCAGTTTTCTTTGCCAGCTTGGGACTTCAGAACCCCGCCTTGTTGAGCCAGAGATGCTGGCTTGCTGCAACAGACCCAGGTCTGGACCATGCCCCGAAAGCTGCAGCCTAAACTGAAAACAGCTCAGCAAGTACTCCTGCCTCCAGACACCCAGTTCCCACTGGGATCCAAACCCCAAATAAATCCATTTTACTCTGTATAAAGCTTATACACGGTAAACTCCTAAATTGTTCACCCTCTATAACACTGAGAGAGATATGCACAGCTGTTTGCTCCCCCAGCTATTAATCATTTACTCTGGGTTAATTAATAAACAAAAGTGCTTTTATTGAGTATAAAAAGTAGGATTTAGGCGGTTCCAAGTAATAACAGACAGAACAAAGTAAGTTAACAAGCAAAATAAAACAAAACGTGCAAGTCTAAGCCTAATACATTGAGAAACTGAATACAGGTAAATCTCATCCTCAGAGATGTTCCAATAAGCTTCTTTAACTGATTAGACACCTTACTAGTCTGGTCCCAATCCTTTCCCCAGTACAGGCCTTGTTAGTTCCAGCTCAGGTGGTAACTCGGGGATTCCGTCACGACTTGCAGCCTCCTTTGTTCTGTTCCACCCCATTTTATATCTTTGGCACAAAGCAGGAATCCTTTGTCTCTCTGGGTCCCCACCCCTCCTTCTAAATGGAAAAGCACCAGGTTTAAGGTGGATTCCAGTACCAGGTGACATGGTCACAG